TTTTTAAAAAAGAAATATTCATTCAAAAAAATCAACTAAATCTTCGTAAAAACAGTGAGTCTATGACACCTGAGCCATGACCTGCCTCCTCCCTTCCAGCTCGTGCTCAGCTCCTCTGGAAGGAACATGCATTCTGGGCAGGTGTGGCCAAGACGATGGGGCTCCCCTCCCCTCGGCGAACCAGCAAGAGTACAGTATCTGAGGACAGCGGTGAGCGTGCAACATTTCTCATCGCCTCCACGTCTGGGCTGTTGAAACTAAACTCCTGGTGGGTGCAGCCAGCAGCACCCTACTATTCCTCTACTCACGGGGCTGAGGATGCACCCCAGGCACAGTGAGTGACCAACACTAGCGCCCCAGCTGCCCGCACCCCGCTTCCCTCAGAGGACAGCAGGTCCATGCTGGGAGGGGCAAGCTGAAAAGACCAGGGGTCCAGGCTTCCTCTAGTGGGAAGTTTGATCAAAGGCTACTCTTGGAAACAAGGAACACTCCGGTGGGAAGCAATTTAGAGGGGCTAGGTAACCCTATGAGCGACACAAGAGAGACCACAAGCCAGCAAGTTCGCCAGAGAGAACCAGGAAAAGAAGCAGTGAAGAAGAGTCCTTTTAGGGTCACAGAAAACCTGAAAGACTGGCCACAAAAGCTATCCCTGCAGATTTAGTTCAATCAGACCGTGGGGCGATTCATGCGCAAGCGCCTTATCAACAAGAGAGCAGTGAGCTGGCCTTGAGTAGGCTTGACAGCCGGTCTGGTACCAGCGGAGACAGGCGGAGGAACAGAGAGATTAGGGAGAGAGACAGAAAGCTCTCCTGCAAGTGGTGTCACCCCAAGACTTCGTGCACACAGGAGCCTGCACCCTGTGAGGAGCGCCCGGGGAGTTCACAACGCAGGGGACCCAGACACCCCCGGTAGAGTCTAGCCAAGACAGTAAACACACGCAAGCCTCCTACACCAAGCTGAACTGGAGTGACCAGAGCGGATACCCTTGCCTTATTTCTGTCCACGGGAGCAAGGCTTTCAGTCTTTTGTCATGAAGCATGGCGCTAGCTGTGGGATTTCTCACCGGGTTATGGAGGGTTCTTTCTAGTTCCAGTCTGTTGAGTGTTTTTATTATGAGAGGGTGTTCAGTGTTGTCACATGTTTTCTTTGAATCTCTTGTGCTGAGATACTGTCTCCAGAGCTTTCTTTAATTCTCTAAGTGTGATTTCCTTCAATTCTTTAAACATACGCATCATTGCTGCTTTCGAATCCAAAATCCAGCACCTCTCGCAGGCTGTTCCTGTGGCCTGATTTTTTTTCAGTATGTGGGTCACCCATTCTTGTGTCGAGGTAGGTCTTGTAGTTCTTGTGAAAAACTGGGCAGCTGAGGTAATATAATGTAGCTAGTCTGCATACTGATTCCCCTTCTGCTTTTCTAGGCCTTGCTTTGCCGTCCTTTGCATGTCAATAAGAATACAGAAATTATTGAGACGCCTGGGTGGCTCAGTCAGTTAAGCATCTGCCTTCGGCTCAGGTCATGTTCCCAGGGTCCTGGGATCAAGCCCCGCATCAGGCTCCCCGCCCAGTGGGGAGCCTGCTTCTCCCTCTCCCTCTGCCTGCCACTCCCCCTGCTTGTACACTCTCTCTTTATCTCTCTCTCTCTGAAAAATAAATAAATAAAATCATTTTTAAAAAAGAATACAGAAATTATTTTTAGGACAAAATAGAAATTCTGCAATTGAAAAGTATAATGACTGAAATGAAAAATTGTACTGGTAGGGCTCAATGATAAATTTGAGCCAGTAGAACAAAGAATCGGTGAATTTGAAGATGTAATAGTTCTAAACATACGTGAACTTCACAATCAAGACCTCAAACACACAAAACAAAAAATAACAGAAGTCAAGGACAAATAGACAATTCAGCAATAAGCTGTAGGCTTTAATACCCCACTTTGAACAATGGGCACAGCAACTAATCAGAAGGTCAAAAGAGAAAGAGAATATGTGACCAAGACTATAAACCAACTGGGCTACCACTGGAATGCCCTACCCACAAAGTAGAATACACATTCTTTTCATGCACACAAGGAATGTTTTCCTAAATATGATCAATAGGCCATAAAATGAACCTCAATAAATTTAAGAGGCTTGAAATCATACAGTGTGATGGGGATAAGTTCTTTTACAACAGCCTTGGCAATGATTTTTTGGATTTGACCCCAAAAGCAAAGGCAATGAAAGACAAAATAAATAAATGGAATAACATCAAACTCAAAGCTTTTGCACAGTAATGGAAACCATCAACAACATGAAAAGGCAATCCACTGAATGGGAGAAAATGTTTGCAAATCATATATGTGGTAAAGGGTTAATATCCAAAATTCATAAAGAACTCATATCATTCAACATCAAAAAACAAGCAATTCAAGGGATGCCTGGGTGGCTCAGTCAGTTAAGCATCTACCTTCAGCTCAGGTTATGATCCCGGGGTGTGAGATCAAGCCCCACATCGGGCTCCCTGCTCAGTGGGGAGTCTGCTTCTCCCTCTGCCCCTCCCCTCCACTTGTGTTCTCTCTCCCTCAAATCAATAAATACACTCTTAAAAAAAAAAAAACACCAATAATAAATTCAATTTAAAAAATGGGCAGAGGAACTAAATAGACATTTTTCCAAGGAAGACATACAAATGGCTGATAGGTACGTGAAAAGGGATTCAGTGTCACTATCATCAGGGAAATGCAAGTCAAAATCACAATGAGATCTCAGCTCATGCCTGTCAGAATGGCTGTCATCAAGAATACAAGAGACAACAAGGGTAGGCGAGGATGTGGAGAAAAGGGGACCCTTGTGCACTGTTGGCGGGCATGTAAATTGGTGCAGCCACTGTGGGAAACAGTATGGAGGGTCCTCCAAAAATTATAGCCAGAATTACCATGTGATCCAGTGTGGGAATACAATCACGGGTTACTAAGTTATAGGACCGCATAGCCCAGCAGAGACCTGCTTTCTGTCTTGTTGAAAACAACAGGACATGCTTCGCTTATCTAGAACAGGCTCTACCAGATTTGGGGGATTCGTAGGCTTGCCTGCTTTTGCCTTACCTATAGAAAACTCATCTCCAGAAATAGTAAAGTCTACCCTTTGAATTGCTTAAGATTAATTGCTTTGTTTGCTTCAAGAACCTTGTAACCCCCTGCTCTGCATTTTCCCTGAATTCCTATGATGTATGTTACTTTGTTACCTGAAGTCTTTCTATTAATAAACAGGAGAGTCTAGGAGTGGCTCCGGGACTCTATCCTCAGGCTCCATCTCACCTCTCTTGACTGATCCGTAGTCTGGAGTAATTATTTCTGCCACCGTGGGTTTTGCTGGTCGAAGCCCACAAGATAAGAGTCGGAACCCTCAATCCAACAATCCCACTACGGGGTATTTCTCCAAAGAAATTGAAAGCAGAGTCTCGAAAAGATACCTGGACTCCCATGTTCACTGCATTATTCACAACAGCCAGACCTGGAAACAACCTAAGTGTCCATCTGTAGATGAATGGATAAAAATCTATCTATCCATCTATAATTTAATATAATATTAATATAATTTATTTATAATGATATATATATAAAATTATTCGTCCACAAGAAAGAAGGACGTAGTGCCATTCGCAACAACGTGGGTGGAACAGGAGGGCATTATCCTAAGTGAAATAAGTCGGACACAGAACGACAAATACTGTATGATATCACTTTTCCATGGAATTTTAAAGAACCAAACTCACAGAAATGGAGAGTGGACTGTTGGTTACCAGAGGCTGGAGGAAGGGAAATGGGGAGACATTGGTCAAAGAGTACAGAGTTCCAGTTATAAGATGAGCAAGTTCTGGGGGTCTAATGCACAGCACAGGGGTTAGAGTTAATACTACTGGATCATACATTAAAAGTTGCTAAGAGAATAGTTGATCTTAAATGTTGTCACTAAAAAAAAAAAAGCAATGGCAATGATGTGATGTGATGCAGCTGTTATTTAATAAATACTACAGCGGTAAGCATTTCGCAATATATAAGTGTATCAAATCAACACACTGTGCCCTTTAAACTTACACAGTGTTACAATTCACTTATATCTCAACAAAGCCGGCGGAGGCGGGGGGCACCGGTGGAGGGTAGTGGGTTGGCGCTCCTCACTAGAGAGAATAAGCTAGCAAGAATGGGTAAAAATCAGACCCCAACCAATTAGCTTCAGATGAAGTTAACTCCAGAAAGTTTGAGTTAGGCAGGATCACAGAGGGCATTAATGACCTAGCCCGGTCCGGGGCCCATTACCACCATATGCTGTTGCGGCCTTCTCTCCACACAACGGGGGGCTATTTACTCACCTCTCTCATGACCCTCCTGAGAGAAGAAACAGAAACTCGGGTCAGAGAGACCAACTGAGGCTAGACTAAGCCTCGTATGAAAGATCTCCTTCCTCTTCCTGCTGTCTGATCTTTAATGACTGGAGAAGTCCTCCTTTCCTTTAAGAATGACGGGCCTGGCAGATAGGACCATGCTGGTGACCTTGTCCAACCTGATGTCCAGTCGAGGGAAGGAGACTCTCAAGAGGCCATTTCATAGGAAAACACCTATAAAAAAAAAAAAAAGGCAACTGGAGGTAAGATTGGTGGGCAGAGGCTGGAACTGAAACAGGCCTCAGAAATCTCAACTGCTCTTCTCTGAGGTTACAGCCCGAACTGGGGATAAGGTGGGGGGGTCACAGGGACCTTTGGAAAACATCGCCACAGTCCAAAGCAGGGGTTGGGTTTCCCATCGGAAAGGCTGGCCATGGTCCTGTCCCTTTAAATTGTCACCCTCCCTCCGGGGGCTCTGAGCTCTGAGAGGCTAGGACACTTCCTCCCCATGCTGGGAGGGGCAGCCTCCTGCGCTCACAGCCAAAGGCAAAGCACTAGGCCAGGGGCCTCTCCGCCACCCTCAGAGCCTGTCACCACTGCTGCGGGAAAGGTGAGCCCACAGGGCAAGGGGGTCGCCTGGGGAGTGGGAGCTGTGAGGACTTGGGGGCCTGTGTGAGCTCACTGAGCGAGCACCTGCCTTCTACTACCTTTGAGGAAGGGGAGCAGGGTCTAGAAAGGGTAACTTCACACTTCACACTTCCAGGCTTGGAAGGATGCTCTGACTTTCAAACAAAGTAATTTCAGAAGAAGTGCTAAGCATCTTCTCCAGCCGTGGCCCGCACACACTCCTATCTGGGACGAAATCCTTTCTCCTTCCCTACTCCCTGACTAGTAAGGAAGGTGTTTGCTAGAAGGACTTCAGGAGCAGAGCACACTGGGGAAGCCGGCAGACACTCCCCGAGGGCAGATGCAGCAAAGCCGAAAGATATTTCTGAGGACAAAGAAGGCAGTCTACCCTCAGATCGTGGTACAAAGCGAAAATTATGTCTGTGAGCTGGATCCTCCTCAAACACTCCACCTCCTCAGCCCTGTGTGCGACAGGGACTAGCAGGAGCCAGCGACCATGACGAACACCGTCTTCTAACCCTTGCCCTACACGTGCCCTTACACTTCTCTCCCCCAGCCCGAGCCGCCCAGGGCTCCGTGGGCTGTGAGCCCGCTTCATACCCTCATCCCCACTGGAAATGAAGGGCTTGGACGGGGTGAATGGCTCAGAAACTCAGAGCACCCACCAAAGGCATTAGAATCACTCGGGGGTGGGGCGAGACATACCTTTTTTTGTTTTGTTTTTTTAAGTACAGATCTGTGAATCCAAATGTCAAAGAAATAGATATATTTTAAAGAATCCTTAGACATTGCCAAAAGATAGCAGGTTCAAAAGCGCTGGACTAGATAAAGCATCTACCATCCCATTTAAGATAACGGGAGTCTCCATGTTTTACATTCTTCAATGACTACACACCTCTGTAACCCCGGATTTCAGCTCTCAAAAACTCTGGAGGAACTCTCCAAATCCCAATCCAAACCCTGTCGGAGACTCCAAAGGGCCCAGGAGTTCCGAGAATATTCTAGAGCACAATCTCTCATCTCCAGCATGGACAAGGACTCCTGGCTTTAGCTAAATGCTTGTTCTTTGCACTGAATCTTCCGGCTGTTTCTTCACTTCCGCTCTGGGGTCAGTTATGGGAGTTTGCTGATTTGTATGCACAAGATCACTCATCACCTAAGGCCTGTGGGGTGACCTTTACTGAGGGCTTTGGGGGGGTGGCAGGGGTGTTACTGCAGAAACACAAAACACTTTGGACTGAGTACCAGGCAAACCTGTCACCTGAGTCCTCTGGCCAGAGACAAGTTCTCCAGCAGCCCCGCCCTCTGCTTTTCCTCATGTGGTGCCCACGGGACAGAACACGGTCACGCACAGTCAGCAGGTGTCGCCATGAAGAGGTAGACATGAACTGGATGGGGAGGCACAGACAGGACTCAGACACGTGCGAGAGAATCAGTGGTCAGAGGAGCAAGCACACAGGTGGGAAAGGAAAGGTGCTGAAACCCGCTCTCTGCCGAGCAGCTGGCTGAGTAGGGGGCGAGCGGGAAACGGGGCTGGGGAGGCAGACGGAGGACGGGCTGCGTGCCTGTGTCCAGGCTCTCGTGTGCTCAGACAAACGTCATCACGAGGTGTTTAACTGTATTAAACCATGTCGGAATTGGGTATCATCACTTACTCTGAGAGGCCTCAGATTTGGGGCAAGACCATCAGGAGCTGGAGGGCAGTGGCCCGTCTCCCCAGGCACACAGATCAAACTTAGACCAATGATACAAGCCCAGTTACTCGGTTTTCTGAGAGCAGATCACAGGCTCTTCAGATCAGCTTGGGAGGGATGTTTTCTTTCCAATTTCCAAAAACAAAATGCAAATTCTCTTCTTGTTTTTGCCCCAGGCCAACTGCCCTAAGGCGGTTCCTAAGTCACTGAGCAAATTTTCGGATTCTCAGGGTTTTCCAAAGTCTCCCCTGGCTGTGGAATCTCCTGGGAAAACTCAGAACCTACAGCTAATGTCACTGACACAGAACCACCTGGGAAAACATCAGCATCTAAAGCTCACTCTCTGACACAGAGGACCTGCTATCATCTGCCCTCTGCTTTTTGCATTCGGGGTCCCTGAAAAGTCACCAAATGTTCTCCCGGTATCGTTCCAACGCCAGCCAGGTCCTTCCAGGGTTCTTCCCTAGATGCTGATGTCAGGGGAAGGCAGGAGCCTGGACCTTTTCACTGGGGTGCCACCAGCGTTTTGGACCTTGCCTGACCCACATAGGTAGTTACACCTATTTGATGAATGAATGAATGCATGAATGAATGAATGAATGAACAAATTGTGTTTGGGACTCTTTCAGGCAAATGGGAGGACGGAAGATGGCAAGGGATGAAGAAAATGCCTATGGTAAGAATTTCCTCGCGGTGTGTACTGGCCTCAGGTGTCAGCTCTGGGGAACAAGGGGATGCGCTAAGTCAAGACAACAGACACAAATCCCAGAGGTGTCTCCATGCTGGGCTGAAACAGCAAGAGCCCAGATTTGCCTTTGTGCTGCATCTCTGCCCCTGCCCTACGGTGAGATATTAAGTGCTTTGACTAGCCTGTGCCTCCCAAGCCAGAGGGTAAACCGAGGATAAGAAATCTACTCTGGGGGCGCCTGGGTGGCTCAGTCGTTAAGCGTCTGCCTTCGGCTCGGGTCATGATCCCAGGGTCCTGGGATCCAGCCCCGCATGGGGCTCCCCGCTCAGCGGGAAGCCTGCTTCTCCCTTCCCCCCCCCCCCCACTGTGTTCCTGCTCTCACTGTGTCTCTCTCTGTCAAATAAATAAATAAAATCTTTAAAAAAAAGAAAAAGAAAAGAAATCTACTCTGACCCCCACAGAAGAGGAGGTGGAGGGAATGAGATCATGGACTAGAGGGAACACGATTTACCAGGTAGACTGCGCTACAGAACAAGGATGGGGGCTTAACAGGTATCTTCTGGGCAGCAGGTGTAAGAGCTAGCGAGGAGGAGGGGAAGAGGGAAGGAGGGAAGAAGGAAAGAGACCAGCTCCCCTAATCCTCTGAGCAACCCCGGGAGAAACAACTCTCTGTCACCACTCCCATCTGTGCAGAAGAGGTTTAACACTCAGATGGGGCAACTTCCCCACGGTGCCACGGCGGGCACACGCTGGGGCTGTGATTCCAACGCGCGGTGGCCGGGACTGCAGACAGCCCTTCACTCCCGGGCCTCCGTGCCCTCCCGCCTCTCCTGGCTGCGACGCTGGGACGGCGCCTGGGAGAAGCATCCCAGAGGCCAGGGCAGGCGTCCAGCAGCAACAGGTCTGCAGCGCGTGCGTGCCCAGAGATCACGTCCGCGGGGTCCGGGCCTGCCGGCACGGAGGGGTGCCCTCCAGAGACATGCGCACCAGCTGCTGCAGCGGGGACAGGGGCCTGTGCTGAGGCCAAAGACGGAAGACACACGGGGACAGACGCCGCGGGGCGCAACGAGCTCCGACCAGACCCCTAGGGAGGGCTCGGTGGGAGAAGCAGAAGCCCAAGGCCTGGTGCTCTGCCGTGTTCCACAGGCGCCCCCGGGGCCCGCGGGAGCGGGACGCGGGTCCGAGGCGGGCAGCCCACGCCTTCTGTGTCCTCACAGGTCCCGAGGACCCGGACGACGCGCCGCCCGCGCACGAGCCCCAGCTCAGGCTCGTCCTGGCCGGCAAGACCGGCGCGGGCAAGAGCGCCACGGGCAACAGCATCCTGGGCCACAGGCGCTTCCCGTCCAGGCTCGCGTCCACCCCGGTGACCAGGACCTGCGCCCTGGGGAGCCGCCGCTGGGCCCGCTGGCGCGTCGACGTCACCGACACCCCGGACCTCTTCAGCGCCGACGGCCGCCGCGCCGACCCGGACTGCGCCGAGCGGGGCCGCTGCTACCTGCTGTCGGCGCCCGGGCCGCACGCGCTGCTGCTGGTCACCCAGCTGGGCCGCTTCACCGCCCAGGACGAGCAGGCCGTGCGCGGCGTCCGCCAGCTCTTCGGGGCCGGCGTCCTGGCGCGGGCCGTGCTCGTCTTCACCCGCGGGGAGGACCTGGAGGGGGCCTCGCTGCACGACTACGTGCGCGACACCGACAACCGCGCGCTGCGGGCCCTGGTGGCCGAGTGCGGCGGCCGCGTGTGCGCCCTGAGCAACCGGGCCGCGGGCGCGGCGCGCGACGCGCAGGTGGAGGAGCTGCTGGTGCTGGTGGAGCGGCTGGCGCGCGAGCACGCGGGCGCGCCCTTCACCAACGCCGTGTACGGCCTGGCGGAGGCCCTGCGCCACGCGCCCCCCGACCTCCGGCTCCGGCGGGTGGCGCAGCGGCTGGCGGCCGGCGGCCCGGGGCAGGGGCGGCGCTGGCTGGAGGTGGCGCCGCGCGGGGGTTGGCGGGCGCTCTTGCTGCTCGGCGGCGCGCTGCTCCTCGGCCTGCTTCTCTGGCGCCTCAGACCCAAGGCCTTGCGGGAGGTCAGTCCCGACTGACGGTCCAAGGAGGACTTGGGCCCGTCGACTGAGGGTCACTTCGCCGCTCGTGCGGTGTGCCTTCGGGGCCCACAGGCTCTTCTTTCCTCCTTCCCTGGCGGGGATCAGCTAGGCAGCGTCCCGCCAGGCCCGGGCTCCTGCAAAACCTTCCCCTGGGACGTGGCCCTCCCTGCGCTCTCCTCTCACTGAAGCCAAACAACCAGAGTTGCTTTTGTCTGTTTTCCCTGACCTCAGGCTGCCTTTCCCTGTCATTGGATTGTCTTCCCTGCTGTCTTTGCCCTCATGTCTCGTGGTCCCCCGAAGCCCGAGGGGGAGAGCCAACACAGAACAGAACCTCAGTCCATCCTCGTTCATTTGAGTTCAATCTGAGTTGAATAAATATTAGAAACAATCACATTGTGTGAAAGGAAATCGGTATTTCCTTTAGATGGTAGATGTTTGTTCTGCCTTATATTCCTGTCGAACAGACACTAACTCCTGTCATTCCTAACCCAGTCTGCAAAGACCATACACCCCGGTGCAAACACACCCACACACATTCAGGCATGTGATCAGAAGAACAGAATACAATGGCATAAAACTGTCCATCTACCTGCCAGGCGATGTCTCCCCGGGCAGGGCCATTCCCACTCTCCAGCAGCTTGAAGGCAGATGGGTTCCTTAGGGGCCATTGAGACCCTGCAGAAAGTCGCCTTCCAAAGAGGAGTGTTTTCCCTGGTTCACACACTCACAGGGGAAGATTACACTTTCCAACTCAGGGATAAATTAAAAAACATTGGAGAGGTTTGGAAATTTCTCTTTTATTTCATTTTCAAAAAAGGGGGCAGACAGTCGTGGGGGCCAGCTGGTTAAATGATGTGAGGTGCAGAGTCATCTTCTGTCCCATGTGTCTCTGGGAGGGTCAGCTCCCTGGTCCAGGTCAAATGAGCCAGGTTAGCCCGTCTCGTCCGTCCTGACTGTGCCTCCCTGTCTCTCCAGCACCCCTACCCTCACGCACAAACCCAAGCTCCTCTCTGATACTGCTGTGTATTTCCAAATCTGCCCCCTCCCGTGCCCCCTGCCAGGTTGGCCTCACAGCCAGCCATTCTCAGCTGACTGATGACCTCAGCTTACTAATGAGATGCTTACAAAGGGACAATCCCGCCGCAACAGCTGAGCACAAATTGCAGAGAGAGGCCCACAGTCCTGCATGGAAGCCATGCAGACACTAACAGGAACGCCCAAGCCCAGTGCCGAGATTTGAAATTCCCTCAGCTGCAAAGGTCAGTTTGGTTTAAGGCGTTGTGTGCAGATCCCAGCAGGAGCCCTGATAGGGAATCTTGATTTTGGTCTTGTTCACTTTTCAGTAGACTCTTGTGATGAACAAACAGAAACAAATAAAACAAAACAAAACATTGGCATTGGCATTGCCTCTCTGCTGAGAAAAAGGAAAAGGGTCACCGGCAAAAATAAATACAAAAAATAAAAATGAAAAAAAGAATAGCAAGGTGTCCAGTGTGAACAATGGAAAGTTTTAACCCATGACCCAAATAGAAAAAGTCAGATTCTTCTCTTCTTAGTTGGGGAGGTTGGGATCCCAGGGAGCTCCCAAGAGGCAGTGATTGAGCTGATGGAAATGTGGGAAGGAGCACTCTGCGGGTCCCACTAAGGCTGCAATCCAGGACACACTGGGAAGAGAGTGTGTTTGTGGGCAGTGTGTTACAAGCTGGGATATATGCGAAAGGATAAAGGATGCCATGAAGAATATCTGAAACATATTAATGGGTAAAAACAACATATCATGTTAGGATAACTGGACATCCACAGGCACAATGTGAATTTGGATCCCTGTATCACGTTGTATATAAATATTAGTATACAAAGTGGATTAAAGAGCTAAACATAAGAGTTAAAACGGTAAGACTCTTTTTCTTTTCTAAAGATTTATTTATTTATTTGAGAGAGAGAGAGAGAACACAAGTGGGAGGGGCAGAGGGAGAGGGAGAGAGAATCTCAAGCAGACTCCGCACTGAGCACAGAGCCAGACGTGGGGCTCGATCCCATGACACTGAGATCAGGACCCAAGCCTTTGAAACCAAGAGATGGGCGCTTAACTGGCTGCTCCCCTCAGGCACCCCAAAACTGTAAGACTCTTAAAACACAGGTGTAAATCTTTATAACCATGAGTTAGGCAATAGTTTCTAACATATGACACCAAAATCACAATCGATCAAAGCAAAATAGAATTAACTGGATTAAAACTTTTGCCCACCATAGAACACCATCAAAACTGAACAAACAACCCACAGGATGGGAGAAAATATGGGCAAATTCTATATCTGATAAAGATCTAGTACCCAGAATATATAAAGCACTCTCACAACTCCACAATAAAAAGACAAATAACTCAGTTTTTTAAATAGGTAAAAAATTGGTCCAGCATTTCTCCAAAGAAGATACGCAAATGGTCAATAAACACATGAAAAGATGCTCAACATTATGAGTCAGTGGGGAAATGCAAATCAAAACCAAAATAAGATACCACTTCATATTCGCAGGATGGTTATAATTTAAAAAAAAAGAAAGAAAGAAAGAAAAGACAAGCGAACAAATTCTAGTGAGGATGTGGAGAGATTGGACCCTGATACATTACTGGTAAGGGTGTCAAATGGAGCAACCACTATGGAAGGGAGTCTGGCAGTTCCTCAAAAAGTTAGATGCAGAGTTACCACGTGACTCAGTAATTCCACTCCTAGGTATGTACCCAAGAGAACTGAAAACATGTTCACACAAAAACTTATACATGAATGTTCATAGCAGCATGATTCATAATTGCCAAAAAAGTGGAAGCAACCCAAATGTCCATCAACTGATAGATGGATGGATGGAATATTAATCCAGGCCACCACATGAATGAAACTTGAAAGCATTATGCTAAGTGAAAGAAGCCAGATGGCACACAAAATATCACATAAAGGTATGAGTCCATTTGTATGGAATGTCCAAAAACTAGAGTGGGCTCATGAGAGTGTCCTTGAGAGGGTTTGATCCTTAGTTCCTTGTGCTCTGTCAACACTTATATTCAACTTCACTTTTTGAAATGTGTTGTTGTTTTTTTATGTAGGCTCCACACCCAGCATGGAGCCCAACACGGGGCTTGAGCTCACGACCCTGAGATCAAGACCTGAGCTGAAATCGAGTCTGGAGATCAACCAACTGAGTTATCCAGGCACCCCTCAACTTCACTTTTTAAGCTTTTCTCCCCTCCTGTGGGTTGAACTGTGTTCCCACAAAAAAGATACGTTCAAGTCCTAACCCGCAGTACCTATGAATGTGACCTTATTTAGAAATAAGGTCTTTGCAGATTTAATTGTTAAGACCATTTGGTCATCTCAACCCACGTGACTGGTATCCTTATCAGAGGAGGGAAATGTGGCCACAGGCACACACAGAGGGAAGACAGTCACATAAAGATGGAGGCCGAGATGGGACTATGCTGCCAAGGAACCCCTGGGCACATTGGGACCTGGAAGAGGTAAGGAAGGAAGCCCCTTCGGTCTTCACAGGGAGTATGGCCCTACCAACACTTTGATTTTGGATTTCTGGCCTCCAGAATTATGAGAAAATAAATGGTACTTCGTTATAACAGCCCTAGGAAATAATACAGTTGATGTTTGAACAACTTTGTGGATCGGGGCAGGGGGGTAGTTGGTTAACAGCACTGATGTCGCCCTCACCCACAAATGAATATCTGAGTATAACTTTTTTTCCAGATACAATTTAAAAAAAATTATTTAAATTCAGTATCTGAGTATAACTTTTAACTCCCCCAGAACTTTACTAATAATGGAAATGGTTGATTAACACCTATTTTGTATGTTATATGTATTACATGCTGTATTCTTACAATAAAGTAAACTAGAAGAAGAAGAAAATGTTATCATAAGGCAGGGACACCTGGGTGGCTCAGGTCTGCCTTCGGCTCAGGTCATGATCCCGGGGTCCTGGGATCGAGCCCTGCATTGGGCTCCCTGCTCAGTGGGGAGCCTGCTTCTCCCTCTCCCTCTGCCCCTTTCCCTGCTTGTGCTCTCTCTCTCTCTTTCTCTCTGACAAATAAATAAAATCTTCTAAAAAACAATAATGAGGAAAAATACATTCACCGTACTATACAGTATTTATTATTTTTTTAACAGTTTATTTTTATGTAATCTTTTTGCCCAACATGGGACCCGAACCCACAACCTTGAGATCAAGAGCCACATGCTCCGCCGACTGAGCCAGCCGGGCACCCCACATAGTACCGTACAGTATGTATTGAAGAAAATTTCACATAAAAGTGGACCCACGCAGTTCACACTCATGTTGTTCAAGAGCCAACTGAACATCTTTCATGTTGTGATTCCCTCTCATTAACCCTGGTCAACATACAAGAATTACATGTTTGTGCCATTCAAGATGAAATGGCAGGTCGCACATAGATGTGAGTAGGCAGGGCAGTAAGGGAATGCAGGCTGCCCCCACATCACTCTCCTCTGAGGATGGCCCAGTGGTGGCAGTAATGACCTAGGGAGGACATCAGTCCCAAAGGGGCAGCTGTGGATCAAAACCAAAGCAAGCTAGCCCCACTGTGAAGCTGGGTGACATTCAAGCACAAGGTGATCATTCATGGGGACAAATTGGAAGCACCTGGAAAGATACCTGCCCTAACCTTAAATACATAGTGGGAGGGGGGCTAGGTGCCTGGTTCCTACCGTTCTGTAGACAAGGGCTATAGAAGTGGCAGACCCTGGAGAGGTAAAGGGTCATCTCCAGAGTTCTCATCAGGAACCATGGACGTCAGAAGTAAGTGACAAAGCATTTTTCTTTCTTTTTTTTTTTTAAATATTTTATTTATTTATTTGACAGAGAGAGACATAGCGAGAGCAGGAACATAAGCAGGGGCAGTGGGAGCGGGAGAAGCAGGCTTCCCGCCAAGCAGGAAGCCTGATGCGGGGCTCGATCCCAGGACCCTGGGATCATGACCTGAGCCGAAGGCAGAAGCTTAACGACTGAGCCACCCAGGCGCCCCTCTGACAAAGCATTTTCAACTGTTGAAAGAAAAGGACTGACAACCCAGAATTCTGTTGCCAGAGAATATGTTCTTCAAGAATAAAAGGGGAAATCATGACATTCTCAGGTGAAGGAAAGCTAATTAAGGGAATTTGTCACCAGGAGACCTTCTCAAAAAGACTAAGGAAGATTTGAAACAGAAAGGAAACAATAAAAGAAGGAACCTTGGAACACCGGGAAAAAAGAAAGTAGCAAAAATGTAGGTAAATGGACTCTCCTTCTCCTTGAGTTCTAATTATGTTTGATGATTGAAGAATATATTATAACACCAACTGATGTGGTTCTGAATTTATGTAGAAGAAATAAATTTAAGACAATTACATTGTAGACAGGGGAGTTTCAATGTTCTAAAGGGTGGTTAAGTTCGTATACTTCACTCTGGCAGGTAAAATGATAAAACCAATGGACGGTGGTAAGTTATATATATATATAATAATACCTAGAACAACCACTAAATCACTAAATAGTTATTCAGAAAGGGACACTTTAAAATAGTGTTTTTAAAACAGTGTTTCTAAAGTGTCCCTTTCTGAATAACTATTTTAGTGGTTGTTCTAAGTATTATAGTACAAAATGAGACACACAGATCAACAGAACAGAAGAGAAAATCCAGAAATGAACCCACAACTATATGGTCAATTCATCTTTGACAAAGCAGGGAAGAATATTCAATGGGGAAAAGATAGTCTCTTCAACAAATGCTGTTGGGAAAATTGGACAGCAAAATGCAAAAAATGAAACTGGACTACTTCTTACACCATACACAAAAATAAATTCAAAATGGATGAAAGACCCAAATGTGAGGCAGGAAACCATTAAAATCCTAGAGGACAGCACCGGCTTCATCCTCTTTCACATTGGCCATAACAACTTCTTACTAGATCTGTCTCCCGAGGCAAGGGAAACAAAAGCAATAATATACTATTGGGGACTTCCTCAAAATAAAAAGGTTCTGCACAGCAAAGGAAACAATCAATAAAACTAAACGGTAACTGACAGAATGGGAGAAGATATTTGCAAGTGACATGTATCTGATAAAGGGATAGCATCTAAATTATAAAGAACTTATAAAGCTCAACACCCCAAAAATGAATAATCCCACTAAAAAACAGGCAACAGGCATGAATAGACATTTTTCCAAAGAAGACAGATGGCCAACAGACCCATCAAAAGATGCTCAACATCACTCATCATCAGGGAACTACAAATCAATACTACAAGGAGATATCACCTCACACCAGTCAGAATGGCTAAAATCAATAACACAGGAATCAGCAGGTGTTGGCGAGGATGTGGAGAAAGGGGAATCTTCCTGCACTATTGTTGAGAATGCAAACTGGTGCAGCCACTCTGGAAAACAGCATGGAGATTCCTCAAAAAGTTAAAAATAGAACTACCTTATGACCCAGCAATTGCACTGCTAGGTATTGACCCAAGAATACAAAAATACTATTCAAAGGGATACATGCACCTCGATGTTTATAGCAACATTATCAACAATAGCCAAATTATGAAAAGAGCCCATATACATAATAGAATAGTACTCAGCCATCAGAAAGAATGAAATCTTGCCATTTGCAACAACATGGTTGGAGCTAGATAGTATGCTGCTAAGTAAAAGAAGTCAGTCAGAGAAAGACAAATACCATATGATTTCACTCATATATGGAATTTAAGAAACAAAACAAATGATCATAGGGGGGAAAAAAGAGAGGAAAACCAAAAAACAGACTCTTAA